ATGCCAGGGAGGTCCTAGAACTAAATCCCCTCAGACACCAAGGGATGACTGTACTTAGGAAAAACCTGAAACAGAAGAATGAGACCAGTCCTACCAGTTATAAAATTATAGACTACAGTTAATTAAAACAGCTTGCTTTTGGACAGAAATACAAATATCAACCAAATAGGACACAGAGTCTAAATACGTGCCCAGATATACATCCAGTATAAATGTACATAAATTTCGTATTGAAAATGGCATTTTGAATCAGTGGGCAAAAAGAATGATTCAAAATCGCTGTGACAACTTGCTAATCATTTGTGTGAAAACAGGATTCTGGCATCCTTCTTTACTCTAAATGAATTATAGCTGGAGCAAAACTTCAAATATCAAAATATAATCAATTACTAGAAGAAAAACATGAGTGAATATTTTTAGAATCTGAAAGTGGATAAGGCCTTTTGAAGTCCTGGTCTTAGAGGAAAAAAACCTACATAAATTTGGCTTCATAACAAGTTAAAATTTACTGCACCATGAAAATAAATAAATGGATACATAAATGACAAAGAAAAACCACAGCAATACATATGAAGGGTTAATTTCCTAAATATATAATAAACTGCTACAAAATCATAATACAATGATAACCTAATAGAACAAAAGGCAAAAAGACATAACTAGGTAGTTTAACACTGCAGTCCCCAGCCCCCATGCCAAACACTAGTACCAGTCTGTGGCCTTTGGAAACCAGGCTGCACAGCAGGATGTGAGCAATAGGCAAGCCGGCGAAGCTTCATCTGTATTTACAGCCGCTCCCCATCGCTGGCATCATTGCCTGAGCTCCACCTCCAGTCAGATCAGCGGGGCATTAGATTCTCTTAAGAGCACAAGGAAACCCTACTGTAAACTGCAAATGCAAGGAAGGGATCTAGGTTGTGCGCTCCTTATGAGAATCTAATGCCTGATGATCTGAGGTGGAGCTGAGGTGGTGATGCTAGTGCTGGGGAGTGGCTGCAAATACAGATTAGCATGAGCAGAGGTTTGACTGCACAATCAATGTAATGTGCTTGAATCATCCTGAAACCATCCCCTGCCCTGGGTCTGTGGAAAAAGGTTGGGGACCACTGGTTTAACAGAAAAAGAAATACGAAGTTGCTCAACCTCTAAAAATTACAAACAAAAGCAGATGCTATTTTTTCACAGAAAAGATCACTAAATGAATAAATCTTATTACTAAGATTATTATTTAAAAAATGAATAAATTTTCATGAGCATTCACGGAAGCAGACATTTTCCTATACTGTTGGGGAGAATGTAAAATGGTACATATGCCCTTCCCAAGGAGCAGTTTGGCAATGTTTACCTAAATTTAAAATGTATAGCTTGGCACAGCAATTTCTAGAAACACATCCTATAGATATAGTCCCACAAGTAGGCAAAGATTTCATACACACAAACACACAGAATTTTTAAAGGATTTTTTTGTAATCACCAAAACCTGAAACAAAGTAATTGGAAAATGCAAGATTATGATATATCCGTTCACTGAGACTGAATACTATTCCATGACAGAAAAAAAAAAAAACCCAGTGAGGTACAGCTACAGGTGTTGATGTGAGATGTCTTAAAAATACTGAATTATTTATTAAGTGTCTAAAAACAAGAGGCAGAACTGTACATATATAATATAATCCAGCATCTGGGAGGAAATATGTACATGAAACTCTCACCAGTGGTTACCTCTGGTGAGTGGGATTGTTGGGGGCATGGATGAGGGTGAGGACTGTGGCTGTTCACTTCATACCCTTCTGCATGGATTTACGCTTCCATAATAAGCACACATTGCTTAACTACCTTCTCCCACACTCGGCAACCCATCCAAGCAGGTCTCTTCACGTGATACCTGTATTTCCACTTACTTCTGTGTCTTTGCTCAGGTCACGCTCTTCCTTTTTCCTTGTACATCTAAGTCTTGCCCATTCTTCAAGGACCAGCTCAAATGCCAACAATTTCACGAGAACTTTCTAGACTCCTTAAAATTACACTGCTCTCTTCCTTTTTGGTAGCCCCACTGTACACAGTTGCACATTTAACTATTAAAGAATTTATATTCATTGACTTTTTCCAATTTTTAAGCATCTTAATAGGAGAAAGCATGCCTAAATTTATTTTGTCTTCCCTATCCCCACATTGTAGTCAATGTGAGGCACAGCATTCAATACTTTCAAATATAGGATCATTTCCTCAGTATCTGTTTAATATTTTTTAAAAGCAGGACCTTGTCATTTAGTTCCTAGGTCTCATGGCCTACATTTTGTTTTCTTTATTTAGGGATGTGCAGATGGCATTAAATCTACTTTTTAGAGTAAATTCACATTTTGTACACCTGAAATTTTCCATTCACAGGAGTCCTAAGAAATTGAGAACTAATTTATTCACAATTCTGAGAGTAAGCAGAACACTTATTTAAATTAGCAAATAGCTTCCTACCTATCCTCCTCACATAAACAAAAAACAAACTAGGCTCTTCAAAGAATATTTCAGTAACAAGGATATAAGAATAAATACTGATTAAATAAGAGAAACAGGTAAAACATTGTAATATCAATCAATTTTATCCAGTGTAAGTTTTTAAGCTTTATTTTTACAAAACATGTCAGATTCCCTCATAACACAGCATTATCAATAAGCAAAATGTACATATACTGATTTTATACTACATGTCAAGTCCCAAATTCCCAATCCTAGGTAAGATACAAAGTTGTAAAATGCAAGTGCCAATAATTAAACTATAGGTAGTATTTAAATAAAAATAAGTGAGTTTTTAGCACTTAAGTGAAATAAGGCTTTAATCAAAAGAGATTTAATTTCACAGAGTGACTCTTTTCCCCAACAGTAATTAATTCAATCAAGTCTGCAATTCCAAGCTCCAGTGACAGTGTTATGGTTGAAGCAAACAAGGAAAGGTAATCAATGCTTAAGTGGTATATTTCTGTATGTACTATATTTCTGGACAATCTCTAACTGCATTCAATTTTTAGAACTTATTTTGGAGTCTAACAGAAACCAAAAAATTAGAAGAGCTCTCACTCCACTTTGAGGAATGCAACATAATTGTTCTGCCTAGGCACAAAGACATTACAACGCTGATGGTTAAAGACACTAATTGACTCACCAAAACCATACTTCTTCCAGCTACATCTGTGAAGGAATACACAAATTTTAACAAAAGAAAATTCTGTACTTGCAGTTTAAAAAGCAGACAGTTCCATGAAGAAGCAACCATTTAAATATCTGAGTATACACATTTAAGTTTTTACAACTTCATGCCTTAAGAGAAATTTTGATTTCAGAAGTATCATTTCATGGATCCAGCATCATATATTTACACAATACGTGTTGTGTACAATATAATATTGGAACCTGTAAATGGCACAAAATAACCATAATAATCACAAAATTTTATCAAATTCAAGTTTCCAGTAATCTTTAAAGAGACAAATTATAACTGTCTTTGCTCAGCTGAGATACCCAGTTACGGTTATCTAGAAAATCCTAAATGTAGTGAAAAAAATTAGTCTAAGGAAATCTGTAACTGATAATTTTCAACCTTTTAAATATGCATAGCTAAAAAGAAAACAAAAGGGCTGGTTTGGCACATGAGTAATTCAAGGAGTTTTACAACCCTGAGCCACTATTTGGAATCTACTTTAGGTTTTACATAATTTTCAGTCTTACTATCGCCATTTTCATTCAGGTAAAAGAAATGACCTTTTGAAATCATTGGCATCAACAATGGCACTTATGAACAAGAATCACAACTAGAAGCTAGGGGAAAAAAAAACGTATCTTAGCAAGCACAATTTCTCTCAAAGTATGAGGAATGTTATATAATAAATATACAATAGAAGCAATAGTTTAGAAACCTTAGGAAGCTCACATTTCTTTAGTTATTTTTGCTTTACTAAACAATCTGAAATAAGTATTATATTCACTTTTAAAAATTAAACAAGAAAAATGCAGCATAGAGCATTCTAGGAGTCGGAGAAGGTTCTGTCTTCCCTCTGCTTTGGGCACATTGTCCCACCTCTGTTCTTCACTTTGTTACAAAAAAACCAAATCTCTCCTCAGAGTAGTCTTACTTGAGAACACTGGGTATATATGATTTTTTCTAATTTTCCATCCACCCAGACCCCGAAATCTAAATAACTACTTGAATGAAAACCTTTTTTCCATTTGATGAAGGCTGAGCCACTATACAACCTACACTGGAGGGGTGGTGGGCCGGGAGAGGGCAGCTAAAACTTGGCAGCTGCAGCCAGGTTCCTCACTGTATTCTGTTTTTTATTATTATCTTCATTTTTTAAAATATGACAACAACGTAAGTTCAAGCTGGAAACTCACACAATTCTAGAATATGTTGAAAAAAAATTTGTCACAGTCCTTAAGATTTGCAAGTAAATGCTCCCAAATCAAATACTATGAAGCTGCTAATTAGCGACTGAAAATTAGCCATTCAAATTATGTTGAAAATACTTGAATTATTTTTTCTGAAAGCTTCCTCTTGTATTCCATAACGATCGAAGTATCTGAGTCCATACACTAGCTAGTTTCAAGAAAGAGTTCTTTCGACAAAAATGCACCCTGAAACCAATGTTCCCAACGCCTTTCTTTTCCCCAAATTGTTCAATTACAGTTTTAAAGAGGGGGAAAGTATATGAGGCAGGGTGTTTTATGTGGCACTTTAAGAAACCTAACATTTTAGTGAACTGGGAAACTTTTCACAACATACTTATACTATGTATTTATAGATATTATGACTGTGTCACATAATATATACTGTGAGAAAATGTATTTTGACTCAAAGGATAAAACCGAAATACTATAGTGTGAGCATACATTCAGTAGAGAATTAGCATAATTTAAAAGGATAGCATACTATAGGTTTTAATAATTCTAATATTTTTGTTATTTGGGCTTAATCTTAAAATTTTTTGTCTTTTTGATTTTGCATTTCTAAGAGGGCACTTTTTATTTTTAAGCTGTGTTTGAGTCTATAAAGAATATGCTAATGCAACTTAATATAAATATAAATAATATATAAGCAATATATATGTACACATATAAACAAAACGAAACAATCAGACCACTGACGTTGTACTTTCGGGATTCACACGGATAAGTCTAGATGCATTCCTCAGGTCTTGGAGTTGCTTTGCAGGTTTCCCCACACCTTCTTCAAACCTTTTCTCCACCACAGGGAGGACTGTTTCATATAGAAAGGATGCATTCTGTCTGATAAAAGCCTTCTTCTCCGGATCCTGCTCACATCGAAGACTATAATCCACATGCTGAACAGCAACCAAAATGATTTCCACCAGGCTCTCCAAAAGTACCATGTGCAGCTCTGGGAAATACAGCTTCAGTGCCTCTTCCAAGAAGCCCATGGTCTGTTTGGTGAAAGCAACCACTGTGTAACTTAGGTTCACCCAGCAGTCATCCCCTGTGTATTGCTCAAAGTTACTTACCCCACAACTTTTCATCTCTTCTTTGAGCTTACCTAGGGCTTCGGGAGTCATCAAGTTCATCCTCCTCCACATCTCTTCGGAGTTGCGATGTTTAGTGGCTTCAATGATGATTTCTTTGTAACTGTGCAAGGCCCCTTGGATGTCTTTCACCAGAAGGGCATGGATGATGAAGGTGAGGTCTAGTCCGATATCGCCCAGTTGCTGGCAATGCTCCTTAGCCACTTTCACGCACTCGGCTGCTGTAGAAAGGCTCTCCTTACTGTCAAACACCTGCTTGCTAAAAGCATCCACGAACATGCCCATGGCTGATCTTGCCCAGACGACAAAGGCGGAGTAGCAGCCACTGTCAGTGCCTGCAAAATCTATCTCAAATTCTCTTGCAGTTTCAAGAAGGCTGGTAAAGAAGACATGGCAGAGTTTATGAATATAGAGTAAAGTGGCACCTTCAATGCGAAGCTGACGTATTGCAGTATGCACAGCTGCTGCTCTGTTTCTCAAAAACAATTCACAAGCTTTTGTGCACTGGCCGAGCCGGATTAGTTGAGAAACTGCCCTGCGAGTAGCCTTGGGACCACCTCTCAGGGAACGATCTGGGGAGAGTTCAAACACTAGCACCTTAGTGAGCTGTCGAACACGCTCATCTACTTTGGCCCTTAGCTCTTTCACAGGAGGTGGACTGGGCTTATCTTCCAGGTAATGGTTCAATTTATCCAGTAGGTCAACAGCCCCTTCAAAGTCCCTCTGGGCAATACAGACATCCAGGTCTTCAGGTAACTCTTGGATCCATTCCATGGAGAGGTCCACCTTCTCTTCCTCTACCTCAGGAACAGCTGGTTCTTCTTCTTCTTCATCCTCAAACGGGTTACTGGTCTTGGAAGTCACTTGGGGTGGCCCTCGAGGGGCAGCTGCCTCTTCCTGCTCCCTTCGTCTTTTTTCACTGAGGGCTCTCTTGGTTTTGTATAGCACTTCCAGCCACTCTCGTTTGATTTTAGCATTTTCTGCCTGAAAAATTCGGCTCTCGGGGAACATCAGCAGTTTGAACATGTCCTTCATGGGTGGGTTGTCCTTGACATTGACTACGGCCAAATCATCTAGGGGATAGAGAGCGTTGTAGCGATACATCCCCCGCCTCTGCGGCAGCCAGGTGGCCACTAACAAACAGTCGTTCATGAGAAAGCCGTGCACCCGCTGCAGTTGGGCCATGTGGTCCGCCTCGTATTCCACCAGGTCCCCGTTGTACACCAGGTATTGTCCCGGCGTCTCCAGCAGGTGCCTGCAGCCTTCCACCTTCTCAAGCAGGGTGGTGAGAGTGCGCTGCTTGCCTTCCTCGCCCGGACCGGAACTGTCGCGGGAGGCGCCCCCAGGGGTGGGAAAAAAGCCAGTCTGGCCTCGGAGGTGGTCTCGGCCCCCGGCACTGCCACCTCCCTCCTCCCCTCCAGAGGCGGCAGCGGCCCCGGCGGCGGCGGCGGCGGCGGCGGCGGGCAGCAGGGTAAGCGGGATGCTCTCCAGGCTGCTCTTCTGCTCGGTCAGCAGATGACTGAGCTGGTACATCTCGCTCTCCAGGTAGGAGATCTCGCGGGCCGTCTCTATGAACTGCCGGTAGTTCTGGTAGACGTTGCGCTTCAGGTTCTGCGCCGTCTCCTCCGCCAGCGCCTGGATGCGCTGCCGGTGCTCCTGCAGGTCCCGGTCCCCGTCCGACTGCTGCGAGAGCTGCTTCACGTACAGCCGCGCCTCAAAGCCGCCCGACTCCAGTTGCCGCCGCAGGCGGCTCGCCCCACTGTCTGACATCGCCATCACCATTTCCGTCCGGGTCTCACGCAGTCACTGTCACTATCACCGCCGCTGTGGAGACCCACCCAAGCCCCGCTGAGCTCCTGGGCTGAGGAAGTAGGATTGGAGCGAGACTAGTACGCCTGCGCCCGGTTCTGAACTTGAGACACTGCGCCTGCGCAAGGAGGCGAGCGAGACAGTGCGCCTGCGCAAGAAGATCGGGGGCTCAGGGCGCAAGCGCCGGGGGAGAGACTGCGGAAGTGAGTGACGGGCGAGCCAGGGAGGTGTAGCTACTGCGCATGGGCTGGGCGTGTAACCGGGGTTTGAAGTTACCGGCAAGGGGTGAAGGCTATAACTAGCTTCCCGGAAGCTTCCTCGGCCCGATCTCGGGAACCCTGGTTCTACGCCCTCCAGGAGGCGTCATCAACACTTGCTTTTCTTAAGTCCCAGAATCTTGGCTTCGGCGTTTAGGTTAACCTCAGTTCTCGTTTTCATTCTCAAACCAGTTTTCCTCAGCTCTCGCGAGATTGGCGGGCCGACCCGAGAGCAGCGCGGAACCGGTATCTCCTAGGAGTTCTACCCGGCACTCAGCGCCTTCGCTGCGTGGGATTGCGGCCTGACCCGGAGCCAGCCTAACGCCGACGGACCCCGCCTGAGATCCTAGCAGCGATGGATGAGGACCTGGTTTTGGCACTGCGGCTTCAGGAGGAGTGGAATTTGCAAGTCGCGGAGCGCGATGGGGCCCAGGAGCCCCTGTCACTGGTGGATGCGTCCTGGGAGTTGGTGGACCCCACCCCGGATTTGCAGGCCCTGTTTCTGCAGTTTAACGACCGGTTCTTCTGGGGCCAGCTGGAGGCCGTCGAGGTGAAGTGGAGCAGCCGCATGACCCTGTGAGTTCGACCCTCTGGGGAAGGAGGCAGCTCTTCCGCAGCCTCCGGGTTTCTCTTCTTTCCCGACTAACGATCTCCGGGGGGAGTGGGAGGCCGTTAAATGACAGGGTCTGGTTTTGGATCTGGCAGCTCCTCTCTTGGCGTGTTTCTCCCTTCCTTACCCTGTTTCTCTCCCGCTCAAACAGCTAAGAAAGGTGTGTGGCTTACACCGCTACGGTTGGACTGGAAAGGAGTTTAATGAAAAAAAAGGATTTTCTTTGAACCTCGCCTCACTTGAAAGTAACAAGTTTCTGATTTGTTTTATGGTCTTGCTCCAGGACCAAGCAACCAAATCTGCCCCTAAGAAAGAGTGCTGAGGCTGCGGAGAAACCTCCACGGAATATGTGTTGTGCTATTCTGGTTAGGAAACGACTACTTAGTAGTGAGCTTGTGTGTTGGAATGGGGAAAGGATCCTCAGTGATGTCTCTAAAAGGATCTCTTTTCTATACACTAAGTTTGGGAAATCCCATGTGAACTGATAATCCACTTCCGCGCACGGCAGAGTTAACAAGTTTAAAATGAAGTTATATGCCAGCATGCTTGTTTTTTAACTGATATAAAACAACCTACAGTGAAACTGATTAAGGTATGATATAGAGTTGTGTTTAAAGTACAAATCTCCTTTATATAGGCTTCCATTATAATTTTGGAGATGTGCTACTGGAGATCAGCTTGTTAACTATCCCAAGCTGATTATAGCTTGTGGGGCGGAGACTGGGAGTAGCAGAATGGGATTGTCTTCTTGGAGCTGTTGCAGCCTGGCGAGGGTAAGGGAAGCCACTACTGTTCACTAATTGGGTGAAATGCAAATATCTGCTAACCAACAGGGTATACTTTGAAGAAAGCAATCTGCCAGTGAAGCTCTCTTATCATAAACTGCCCACGAATGTATACGGATTTACTCTTCCATCCCTGTTTCCCTTTTGTGTATATTTGGTAAATGTAACACACTTTTGTGGTGGTTGTTTTCCAGGTGTGCTGGGATATGCATCTATGAAGGGAGAGGTGGAATGTGTTCCATCCGTCTCAGTGAACCCCTTTTAAAGTTGAGACCAAGAAAGGATCTTGTAGAGGTATTCTTTGCATAAACCTGCTTCTTAGCTCAGTAGTTTGCTAATGCTTATCATTGATTTTGACTGCTGTGAATTAGCCTATGTGTTTAAAAATAAAAATCACTTTGCCTTCAGTGGAAACTTGAATTGTGGGGCAAATAGTAATGAAGACGCTGTGTTTTGATAGTGCTTCATAGTTACAGGTCTGTTCTCTCTTTCGATCTTTACAATAGCCATGTTTATGTTCAATGTGTGCTGTTATTTTCATTTTTTTGAGACAGGGTGTCATTCTATGGGTAGAGTATCATGGCAACAGCATAGCTCATTGCAACCTCAGCTACCTGCCAGGGATGGGAAAACTGCAGCCTGCGGATTTCAAGATTGTTCTTTTTTAAGCACCAAAGGAGGCATGAAAAGCTTCATCTTTCTCTGCTGCACCCCTTTTAATAAAAGGATTTGTTCTGTAAAATTTGAATTCAGTCAAAAGGCCATACTTAAGGACCTAAAAGGCCACAGGTTCCCCATCCCAGATCCTCCTGCCTCAGCCTCCCTAGTAGCTGGAACTACAGGCACATGCCATCATGCCCAGCTATTTTCTATTTTTGTAGAGACAGGGTCTCGCTGTGTTGCTTAGTCTGGTCTTGAACTCCTGGCCTCAAGTGAGGCTCCCACCTCGGCCTCCCAAAGTGCTAGGATTATAGGCATGAGTCACTGCACTGGCCTATTTTCATTTTTATGAATGAGGAAATTGAGATTCAAAGAGGTTAAGTAACTGGCTTAAGTTACGTATTTAGAAGCAGAGAAAAACTTAGGATTTGAGTCTTCCTGTTGAGACACACAAATTTAGATTCTCCTCTGTTCTACTGCCACACTGCTGTCCTCCCAGGATACCTAGCTGAGCTGGCAGCACAAACCAGCCTGAGGGCGTACTTCATTATCTAAAGCTGGTCATTCCTGCTGGCAAAATAGAGAGAAGTGGGAACTCCCAGTTTACCTTAAATTGGATTTAGTAGATGCCTGTAATTCCCCAAAATACACCCAGGGTGGCTTGTCCTGCCTCAATTATATCACTTGAAAAATCACAAAAGAGCATGGGTTGGTAGAGATTCTCTACATGGGGTGGGAAATATGTTAAAACATGCTTGAAAGTATGAGGGATGCTGTTTTTAAGGATAAAGGTAATGAGTTTTACAATGATGGTGAATATATTAATATTTGACACTACTGAACTATACACAGAAAAATAGTTAAGGTGGTAAATTTTATGTTAATGTGTTTTTTACCACAATTTAAAAAAAAATTGCTACTAAATGTAAAATGGTGCAATAAAAATACTTGATAATTGAAAAAGAAAGAACAAAGGCCAGAGGACAGACATAAAGAGAAAGGCATAAATACAATATCAGTAATTAAATGTAAGTGGACTAAATACTCCATTAAAGACATGGAATGACATACTAGATTAAAAGAGACATGCTTACAGTAAAGACACATAATTTAAATTTAAAAGGATGGAAAAAAATGTATCGTCTAAACACTTAACAACAGAAAGCTGTTGTGGCTATACAGGTTGGGTATCCCTTATCCGAAGTGCTTAGAACCAGAAGTGTTTTGGGTTTGGGATTTTTTTGGCTTTTGGAATATTTGCATTATACTTACTGGTTTAACATCCCTAATCCAAATATCCAAAATCCTAAATGCTTTAGTGAGCATTTCTTTGGAACATGATCTTTGAGTGTAATGTAGGTATTAAAAAAGTTTTGGATTTTGGAGCATTTCAGATTTTGGATTTTCAGATTAGAGATGCTCAACCAGTATTAGTATCAGTCTAAAGACTTCAAGGGAAGAAGTTTTACTAGAAGAAAAGTAGGACATTTTATAACAATAAAATCTATTAAACAATACATAATGACCCTAAAAGTAATAATATAGCTTTAAATTTTATAAGGCATAAATGAGCAAAAGCAAAAAGAAATAATCTACATTCATAGTTGCAGAAGTTAACACAACCCTCTTAGAAACTTGATGAGTAAGCAGAAAAAAATAGTGTACATAAAAAAAATTGAACATGGTTAACAAAATGAGCCTTATAAGGAACCCTAATTGGAATGGTAGTTGCTTAATGAATATGTATCACATAAGTGATAAAAAACATGAACAAATTTTTTTTAAGTCAGTGGAAGAAGAATGGGAAATGTGTGGTAATGGTATCAAGTGAGTATTTCCTCTGGTCTGTATTTAAAGTACAGTCATATCACAGAATGATGTTCTGGTCAACAATGGACCTCATATACAAGAATGGTCCCATAAGATTATAATACTGTATTTTTACTGTACCTTTTCTATATGTTTAGATGTACAAATACTTACCATGTATTACAGTTGTCTGCAGTATCCAGTACAGTGACATCCTGTACAGGTTTGTGGCCTAAGAGCAATAGGCCAGGTAGCCTAGGTGTGTAACAGGCTATTATGCCATCTAGGTTTGTATAAGTACACTGTTGATGTTTGCTAAAGATGAAATCACCTAACGATGCATTTCTAAGAACATATGCCTGTTGTTAAGCAACGCATGAGTGTAGTTAACTGAATCATAAGGAAAAGGAAAAGACTTTATCTGGTTGAGGAGGTCAAGAAAAGCTTTATAAATATGGATTTTATTACTGCCACCATCACCACTCCTGCTCACTCTTTATTGAGCACCTAGTGTGTGCCAGACTTTGGACTACATTAATTGTGCTTTACCACAGCCCTGCAAATTAGGATATCCCATTTTAGGGAGGAGGAACAAGTTGTAACTTGTCCCAGGTGGCATGTGTATGACCCTGGGCTTAGGGCTTTGGGCTCTACTTTCCTGACTCTAAGCTCCTTACCCCTCAGCCTCATCGCTACTACTTTGTAACTGTTAATACTGATAATTAAAACGTAGAGAGGTGAGCCTTAAAGGACAGAATGGACTCTTGACAAGTAGAGACAGTAGAGCTACTCTTGGCAGAAGGAATGGGAATAATGTGAACAAAAGTGAGGTCAGAAAATGTGTGGCATATTTAGGACTAGAAGTAGTTGTTTTTTTTTTTTTTTTTGAGACAGAGTCTCACTCTGTTGCCTGGGCTAGAGTGCCGTGGCATCAGCCTAGCTCACAGCAACCTCAAACTCCTGGGCTCAAGCGATCCTCCTGCCTCAGCCTCCCGAGTAGCTGGGACTACAGGCATGCGCCACCATGCCCGGCTAATTTTTTCTATATAGATTTTTAGTTGTCCAAGTAATTTCTTTCTATTTTTAGTAGAGACGGGGTCTCGCTCTTGCTCAGGCTGGTCTCGAACTCCTGAGCTCAAAAGATCCACCCGCCTTGGCCTCCCAGAGTGCTAGGATTACAGGCGTGAGCCACCGCGCCCGGCCCATAGAAGGAGTTGTTTTTGACCAGCTAGAACAGTAATGGGGAACAGGTGTGTTAAGTCCATGCTATATAGATCCTTTGAATCAAGCCTAAATGTGGAAAATGGTAGAGATATAAAAATAGAAGTAAATGTTCAGTATGGTGCCACATACCATTTTCAAGATGTGTTTAATGTTTAATTAAATTGAACCAAAAATCAGGAGCCTAAATTTGTTTCTCCTTTGTCAGAATAGCTATTTATCATTACTGTATTTTAGAATGTTGGGAAACTTTGGAAATGTAGAATAGTCTTTTTTGAGTTTGAGTTTTCTTTACCAAGTGGCATTTACTTGAAAAAGTTCCTTTTAAGAGGTTCCATTGATAATTTAAAAAGGGACATTCTCATAATGACCAGGTTAAAATGTTTGATTCTCCCATTTTTCTGTTTACAATTTTATAAGACTAAAATTCATTAATGCCAGTCTAGTTCTTCCAATGGAAATTACTTTTTAAAATTATAGATGATTATGAAAAAGGTATACTTTTGAAGATCTTTATGATTTTCCTTAAAAAATGTATTCATATTTTTTAGAACAAAAAATCCCAGCAACCCTGAATTCTTTTGTTAATTTTGCACATAAACTTCTCCATCCTTGGTGTGGAAATGACCAATAGGTTTTATTGTTTGTTTGCTTTAAAATTTTACATGATTGATTCAAAACCCCAAAACCATAGAAAGCTGTATACAAAGGAATCTTGTTCTGTGCCTTTCCCTCTCTGTCCTGAACTTCCCCACCTTTAGAAACTGTTAATAGTTTATTTATTCTTTCATTGTCTGTTTTGCAAATATTTGTATCTACTTTTATCCACCCTCACCACACAACATACTTCTTACACAAAATACTGTATGCACTCTTCTATACTTTGTCATTAAAACAATATACTCTGTAGCTTTCTCCAAACTATCCACAGAGATCTTTTTCATTCTTTTGCATGGCGGCATAGAATTCCGTTTTGTAGATATACTATAGTACATTCATCCAGGCTCCTATTCCTGAATGCTTGAGTTACTTCTAATCTTTTGCCATTGTAAACAGTGCCACAGTGAATACACCTTGTACATATGACCGTTGATGCTAATCTTTTCTTAAAAATAATTTTACTCTGTTTTTTTAATCTATCCAAGATAGTACTTCAAAATCATTCATTTGCAGTTTTTCCTGCATTTTTTTCTTTTTTTTTGTCTAATGGGTGAAAGCAACTCTTTTTTTTTTTCCTTCTTTGAGACAAGAGTCTTGTTCTGTTGTGCAGGCTGGAGTACAGTGGCATGATCATAGCTCACTGTAACCTTGAACTCCTGGACTACAGGCGAGCACCACCACACCTGGCTATTTATTTATTTGTGGAGATGGGGTCTTGCTATGTTGCCCGAGCTGGTCTATAACTCCTGGTGTCAAGTAATCCTTCTGCCTTGGCCTCCTAAAGTGCTGGGATTGCAGGCGTGAGCCACTGCACCTGGCCCATGCTAGTCTCGGTATTGCTGGCTCAAAGGACAAATTGGATTTGTAATTTTGTTAGATGCTACCAAATTCTCCACCATGGGGATTGTACCATTCTGCACTCCCACCAGGAATATATGGGAATGTTTGTTATTCCTTTACTAACAGTGTCAAACTTTAGAAGTTTTACCAACCTTGTAAGCAAAAAATGATATTTTAGTGTAGTATTAATTTGCATTTCTCTTTTTATAAATGAGGTTGAGCATTTTTTTCATATGCTTACAGGTTATACTTCTTTTTCTGTGAACTCCATGACCTTTGCCCACTTTAAAATTGGGCTGTTTGTCATTTCCCTGTTGACATTAGGAGCTCTTTATATAATAGGAATTAACAGTCAGTGATATGAATTCCACATATATTTTTCTGACTTTGTCTTTTCTTTTTTTTTTTAGACAGAGTCTCACTGTGTTGCCCGGGCTAGAGTGCCATGGCATCATCCTAGCTCACAGCAACCTCAAACTCCTGGGCTCAAGCAATCCTCCTGCCTCAGCCTCCCGAGTAGCTGGGACTACAGGCATGCGCCACCATGCCCGGCTAATTTTTTCTATATATTTTCAGTTGTCCGATTAATTTCTTTCTATTTTTGGTAGAGACGGGGTCTCGCTCTTGCTCAGGCTGGTTTCGAACTCCTGAGCTCAAACAATCCGCCCGCCTCGGCCTCCCAGAGTGCTAGGATTACAGGCGTGAGCCACTGCGCCCAGCCTTTGTCTTTTCATTTATGGTGTTTTTTCCCCCATCAGAATTTTACAGTTTTTATGAAGTTGAATTTATTGATCTTTTCTTCTGGATTTTGATTCATAGTTTAAAAGGCTTCCTAGAACAAGGAGTTCTTAACCTGGGATCTACAGAGTTTCAGATATTATATAGGTTGATTATTGCTTATCCGAAATGCTTACAACCAGAAGTGTTTTGGATTTTGGATTTTTTCAGATTTTGGAATATTTGCATTATACTTACTGGTGGAGCATCCCAAATCTGAAATGCTCCAGTGAGCATTTCCTTTGGGTGTCACATTGGCATTCAGAAAGTTTCGGATTTTGGATTTCTGGATTTGGGATGCTCAGCCTGTGTGCAAAGTTCTATCAATGTGTGCCTATTAATTTTTCTAGAAAAATAGTTCACGACTTCCCTGAGTTTCTGAAAGAAGCTGGTGATCCAAAAAAGACCTCAAATAGAGTAACAGAATGTATTTTTATTTTCAAAAATGCCATCACAAATTAATTTGATTATTTTCTATTTCAGACCCTCTTGCATGAAATGATACATGCCTATTTGTTTGTCACTAATAATGACAAAGACCGGGAAGGGCATGGTCCAGAGTTTCTTAAACATATGCATCGCATCAACCGCCTGACTGGAGCCAATATCACGGTATATAAAGACACACACATTTATGATATTTAGTAGTTATTTAATCAGTAACTCCTGAGATTTAATTAAAAATAGAGAATTAGGTGGAAACAAGTATTATCTTTGAGGACTTCCAGCAGCAAACAAGAGGCCTACAGAAGTTAATTGGCATGTCTAGGAGCACATAGTCATGATGGCAGAGCCAGTGATGTCCCCGAGGCCTCTGACCTCTTCTAGGTCAACATTTGTGCATAGTTAATTCAGGCGTGCTGTACCTCTCTTCTGGACTCCTACAGTGATCTCTTAACTTTGTTTCCTTATTACAGTCTCCTCCATCCTATGTCCTGCTACCATTTCAGATGTCATGCCCTCATCAGAAGTTGTCTTTGATTCATATCTCTGCATAGTATATTGTAGGAGGTGGCAAAGCCTGGGGTTTCATAAGTGTGAGGTGACAGATTCAAATCCTGGCTCCACTGATTAACCTTGTGATGTACTTAACTTTTCTACACCTCATTTTACTCCCATGCAAGTGGGCGTAATAACAATACCTGTCTGTTTGATCCTTGTGAAGAGGAAGGATTGAAGGAGAAAGCACATGCGAAACATTTTAGCAGTTTGAGCACTAATTAAATATTAGTTGTTTTTATCATTGTTGTATTCATTTTATCAAATAACCTTATTGTTCCTTTTTTCTTACCTCCGACTCCCCTGCTCGTGGCCTGTTTCTCTTTAACTGAACTTTTACCTCCCTGCTTTTCCCTGTTTCCCTTCCCTAAAGTGTGCCGCTTCCTCTGTTCTATATCAGAATGCTCTCCATCTCTCCAGTGGGATATGACTTCTCCCTCCTTTGAATCCTCTAAGCAGATATTTAAGCCTTTATAATTTTGTATTCTACTTTCATACCTTTGAACACAAGATGGCTCTTACTCATCTTTATATACATCTACATAAGATGTATAATGTAGTGTCCTTACATGGTCTTAACAAATACTGGATTGAATTGAACTGAATAGAATATTAATTCCTACATAGATTAAATTCTTTGGTATGTTTGTTTCCTTCTTTCAAAAGTCAGTAAAGGCCAGTGTGATGGAAAATGAAAAAAGGCTCACCCTGCATGTATTATTCTTTTCTGACTATCAGTTTTACTTTTCTAAAGATGTCATTTAATTATTGGATATAGAGTTACTTCAACATCAGGAGAGTGGCTAGCATTTTATTTTATTATTATTTTTTTAGAGATGTGGTCTCACCATGTTGCCCAGGCTGGACGCGAGCTCCTGGGCTCAAGCGATCTTCCCACTTCAGCCTTTGGAATAGCTGAGATTACAGGCGTGTGCCACTGTGCCTGGTTTAGCATTTTTTTGAAAATCAGACATAAAATCCAGAGAATTACTAAGCAAGAGAATTACGGAGTTGCTAGCATAAAGTACATTTAGTTTCTTCACTAGAACTTACACTTTAAGCAGAACCCTGGTATACTTCCCGTTGTTCTGTTGGAAGAGGATCTATTCTTTTATCTTGGATATCTGTGTGTTTTTATTTAGGAGAGGTTTTATAGAGTGAACATCCCTTGCTTTTATAGGTTACATCCTGCTATAACGAACTCCACAGGGTAGCTACTTTCACATGGTAGAGCAATTTTATTTTAGTGACTACATTGTTAAAAGCCACATTCCCAGGCTGAGGAATTACAGGAATTAGGCACAAAACAGATCCAATTCTCTATCTTTTTTGTTAATGAATTATTATTTTTCAGTCCAGGTCAGTTACCAGGTGTTACCAGCTAACACCAGTTACCAGTTACCAGCTAACCTCAAAGGGAGGTTAGCTATGCTGATGAATTAAGTGAAGAGTTCTGAACATGATAGAGAGGGCAGGGTTTCATATATCTCTTTGCCCCAGAACCTACGTCTGTCAGTCCCTTCTGTATCTAATATAATAATGTGCATTATTTGCATGCTTGCCAAGTTATAGAAATTTGTTGCTTATGATGGAGAGATGGTATAAAACCATTAGCATTCTTTCCCACAAGGGGAATTTATTAGAAAGTTAAATGCCTTTGGTAAAAAAAAAAGTCTCATATACAGATGTACAGATGCTCCTTATTCTGATACAAGAGATGATGTCCACCAAGAAGGCAACAGGAAAAAGTGAGTGTAGTCATTGAGAAGTAGCAACTTTTCCGTGGTGCTCTGCAGTCCCCAGCGCCACTGTGCTGGGAGAGCCAACCATCTTTTCAGTCAGAACTTTCCCCTTGTCTATTTTTTGCTTAGGTTCTTAGGTTTATCGAGAGCGTGGGGGAAAAAATAAAAGCATCCTGCTTAAGGATTGAAAAGTATGTTTACAGAGAATTTTATCTGGTGCAATGAACGATGCTTTCGTCCACTCAATCCGCAAACACTTACTGAACACCTTCCCTGTGCCATGCACTGTATTAGCCACTAGGTACACAAAAATGAAAACATTTGAATCCTGGAGAACTTCTCATTCTGGTATGAGAAACACACTTAAAAACATATAAAATGTTAGGCGATAAGGCTTATTACATACAGAGGCAGGAACAAAGAGCTTCGAGAATGCAGAGAGCGAGCTTAGAGGCTTCCCTGGGTAAGATGCTTGTGTTGCAGTTTAATCCTTCAGAACCCTTTGATATTGGTACTTACAGGGGAAATTTTAATTTAGCAGTGGGAATGATTCTTATTATGGTGTTACATAAAATCTTTGTCCTAATTTTTGATCTTTATAAAATTTGGTTTTTGAAACTTACAGCATTCATAGAGGACTTTTTAAGTTTTGTTTTTTAAAAATTTTTTTAGCCTTCTAATTTCATATGCCTCTGTCTTTACACAGTTTAGGACAGTGGTCCCCAACCTTTTTGGCACCAGGGAACGTGGGACCGTTTTCTTGGTAGATAATTTTTCCACAGACTGGGGAGAAGGGGGATGGTTTCGGGATGATTCAAGTGCATTACATTTATTGTGCACTTTATTTCTGTTATTATTACATTGTAATAGATAATGAAAAAATTATACAGCTCACCCTAGATTGGGGACCCCTGGTTTAGGAAGTATTAAATTAACTCCTATTTCCCATTAAAATGAACTTTTGAACAGAAACTAAATATAGTTGCTGTCTTTCTTAAAATAGAACTTTTCAGAAAGTTCTGGGAAAGTTTCAAGAATTTTTTTTAAAGGCTACTTAAAATTAATTAATGAAGGCTAAAAATTCTCTGTCAACCTAGGTATACCATACTTTTCATGATGAGGTGGATGAGTATCGGCGACATTGGTGGCGCTGCAATGGGCCGTGTCAGCACAAACAACCGTATTATGGCTACGTCAAACGCGCTACTAACAGGGCACCCTCTGCTAATGACTACTGGTGGGCTGAGCACCAGAAAACCTGTGGAGGCACGTATATAAAAATCAAGGAACCAGAGAACTACTCAAAAAAAGGCAAAAGAAAGACAAAACCAGGAAAGCACCCAGTGTCAGCAGTAGAGAATAAAGGTACCTTCATGTATATTCTTTTAACCTTTCCATGACCGTAGCTACAATGTCCAGACAATACTATCCTTTAGAGAATTGGTATTAACATAAGCTTAAGGGTTGTTTCTAGTGTAGAACTTTTCAATTGTAGACTTGAGGAAAAAAATCCCATTTTCCATGAAATGAAAGGAAAATATACTTTGCTCTATATAGAAGTGAGTAAAAGTAGGAATAGTTTCCACTGATAATATTTGAGGTAAAGTGCTTTTCCCTATCTTGACTCACTGAGTTATTAGGAAACAGAAGGCAAAAAGTTTGTCAAAGTAAAAACAATATATCAAGTAACAATGCCCACAATGTAAGTCCTAAGTACACCCCTTCCTATCAGTGGGATTCTATCTAAGTGACTTCTATTGATGAGTGTACTTTCATTGGGAGAAGAATGGGAAAAGGATAGGACATATATTTGCCAGCATTTCATCTTCAAGATTTATCCCTTTGCTAGGAAGTTCAGTTACTACCTTTTAGGTGGTAGCCAGGCTCCTGAAGTTGATGCTTCTTCCCTTGGAAAGTTGTTGATTTGATGTGGCAGGACCCAGGAACATAGGATATAGTTCCCAAATCTGAAATGTTCAGTAAGTCAAGGAGCTACAGAAGAATTTATGTAGAGAGACTGTATCCTCATTGTTGTGAGTAGGAGGAACGATAAAAATGAGGCAGATTTTTCCCTTCTAGAATTACACATAAAGGAAACTAAGAAATTTTCAAGGTAAATGTCACTTTGTTACTGATCTTTGGCATGACAGGATTCTTTATCTCGATATGAGAGAATTTTTTAATTCTTTATGTTCTGTCAATACCAGAGTTCTCACTTGTGAAGATTGTACTTCTCCCAATAATAGGTAATTATTGCATGGATCTGAGTTAGAATAAAATATTATTTCCTAATTTTGAGAAAATTATCCATTAATTTGATTTTTGTTACTGTATTTATTTTAAGGAAAAATCTTATTTGCTTCTTTTGCAGATAAACCTAACAGAGGTGAGGCACAGCTGTTAATCCCTTTTAGTGGGAAAGGATACATTCTAGGAGAAACAAGCAATTTACCGTCCTCTGGGAAATTGATCGGCTCACAGGCCATTAATAAAACCCAAGATCTTTTAAGTCAAGACCATTCAGCAAACGCTCTAAGACCTAATTCTAAAACTGAGGTGAAATTTGAACAGAATGGTTCAAGTAAAAAAACCTCTCATCTAGTCTCCCCCATTCTTAATACCAGTAAGCAAAATGTTTTAAGCAGCTATTTTCCTAGAGTATCAGCTGCCAACCAAAAGGCTTTCAGAAGTGTGAATGGATCTTCTCCAACGACAAGCTTAGCAGTTGGTGACATCACTAAAAATTCAGTTTCTTCCAGTTCTCAAAGAAGGGTCACATCTTCTAAGATATCCCTAAGAAATTCTTTAAAAACAGTGGAATCAACATCTGTGACTGCATCCCAGGAGGCGAGTGGGTCTGAAGATAAATTCCCAAGTAAACGACCCAGGCTAGAAGACAAGACTGTTTTTGACAATTTTTTTATCAAGAAAGAGCAAATACAAAGTGATGGTAACGATCCAAAGTGTAGTTCACGTCCTGTAACCACAACTCAGAATTCCAATAGTTCATGCAGTCAGAGCAAAATGGTTAATTGCCCGGTTTGTCAGAATGAAGTTTTGGAATCTCAAATTAATGAGCACTTGGATTTGTGCCTTGAAAGTGATAACATCGAAGTCAAAAGCTGAAAACATCTTTGAAAAATGAATGAGTCTCACATACTACCTGTGTTACCTCACTAATGGGCTATGTCAGCCATTCAGGAAGTTTTGGGTTAATGCTAAGATTTGTATGTTATAATCTAGGTCACACAACCAATACAAAATGTTTTATTTTATATATACATATGTAAGATTGTAATTAACAATATTTTATGTCTCAGGGTGCTACATTCACTCTTGCCTTACCTATACTGCAGCCCAGAGTTCGTTCTGCCTGTATATAGGTATAATTTTTAGGTACTTTTGTTCTTTCTTGTTCTTTAAGATTTTTAAATCTGTTAATCTTTTCTAAAAATATTCATGAGGAATCCTGTCAGGTATTTAGTTAAATTGAATATTTCTTTATTAGTAATATTAAAACTCATTCCCTGAACTGAATCTTCATAATGTCAGACATACTGGCCAAAAACACTAGAGTACAAAGTATATGAGTTGTTTTATTTTTCTGGTTTTTTGTTTTTGTTTTTTTTTGCAAAATCTTAACAGAAAATACATTTTCTGTATTTTAAAGAATTTTATTTCTCTGTTCTACTTTTACTAAACAGTGACAGCAGATTTTAGGTTAGATAAGGAATATAGTAAAATAAGTACATTTCTTTGGAATATTATTAGCAACAAATAGCCACTATAATTCCGTAGGCCAGATTTTATATTGAGTTTAGCTGTTTTCTTAAAATTTAGCAAAATGAGTGGTTAAAACTCAGTGCTAAGTAACTGGTATCTATAACATAAGAAAGTTGCCTAGTTATATAACAGTGGAAAATTATCTAGGAACAGTATATGAACCTTAAGCCAAAGTCGAAACCATTATAATAAATACCCTTTTTGCATTTAAAACGTATTTCTTTTTTAAACTGTTCTCTTCCATGTTACAGGGAAGGGACAATGGTGTTTTTATCAGGTTACTTTTTGTCTCGTGCCTGTACTTCCAGTATGTTGGCCATAGTCCCAAGACCTTAGTTGTTCACAGGTTTTTTTCTTTGTTGCAATATAGGTACACAGATTTTTAAGTATACAGCTGGACAGACTTTTACATAGTGTTCACCTGTGTACTGCCCAGATCAAGTCAGAGAACATTTCCATTGCCGCAGAAGGCCTTCCGTGGGCACCTGTTCCCAGTCCATACCCACCACCCTTACCACCCACAAAGGCCGCCACTATTCTCACCTCTATCTATCACCACAGATTAATTTGGTTTGTTTTTGAACTTCATAAAGTAGTATCTTTGTTGCTCTGTGTAGCAGAAATTCATTTTCATTACTCTGTAGTATTTGCATAAATATCCCAGAATTTTTTCATCCATTCTGTTATTAATGGACATTTGAATTATTTCCAAATTGGGGCTATTAAGAATAATGCTGCTAAGAAAGAACATTCTGGTAATTTCTGTTGGGTATATACCCAGGAGTGCAGTTGCTGGGTCACAGGGTGTGTTGAACCTTAGTAAATACTGCTGGTTTACACTCCTGCCAGCGGTGTATGAGCATTGCAGTTGTCACCATCCTCAACACTGTTACCCATCCTTTTCATTTTAGCCTGGTTGGATGTTCACAAGTTTTGATATTTCTTAAAGCATAAAGTTAAAAAATTATATTTAATAAATATTTATAGATAAATGGCTATTAAAATATGTGTATTATGTGGAATATATATGCAGTTACACTTTCTTAGAGCATCATTTTCTCTAATTTAACAAATTGTGTGTAATTAAATATTTTTTGAGCCCAAACCGTACGAAGTTCTGGAGCTATGAAATAACTAAGATAGTCCATGTCCTCGAGGAGCTTTAGACTAAGCCCAGTTGGGGAGTGCGACAAAAGCAGGTTAATCTCAGTATAGTTTGGTAATCGCTATGACACGGGCTTCTGCTGGGTGCTGTGGGAAAACTAGGAAGGATGAAAGTTCTTGGAGGAGACAACATCCAAATTGAGTCTAGGGTGAGTCAAGTTGGCCTGGTTAAGGAAAAGAAGGAACACAAAGGCATGGAAATGGACTAGGCGTGACTAGCATATTCTACCAGCGGCACTATAGAATGTTCCAAATGCACAGTGCATAAAATGAGAGGGGCATGACGGCAGAAGGAGAAAGACTGTAGATAGGACAGATCTAACCCGAGTTGTAAAATTTTGAGGGCAGGGACCGTATCTATTATGTTCTTCGCCTAGTGCCTGCTCATAAGCACCTATGGATTCAGGTGGGGCTTGGAAAGGCTGTCAAGCCAGTGGGACATGGTGAGAAGTGTTTTTGATGGGTTCTTCCTGGGGCAGCTTAGATGGGAGGAAGGGCAGTGGCAGGAAGAGGATGGGTTTGGAACACATAGGCGGTGGAGTCAGGGGTTGGTGTCAAGTTTCTGGGGGGGGATGATGAAAATATGTTAGCTGGCAAAATAGAAATTAATTTGAAATTAAGTCTTTTACTTCATCTGCGTTAAAAGCTTTTGAGAAAATTTGCACACCAAGATTTCTGCTACTCCCCCCAAATCTGAGTCATTTATATTGTATCAAAGAAATTGTTTTCCATTTTGCTTTTTTTAGATTTTTTCTTTTAAAGCAAACTTCTTTACAGAGCTAATAATTCTGGTTCAGCCTTTAAATGCTATTGTCCTTTATCATGGAGAGATGTATAGCTTCTATTTCTATAAAAACTCAGTGCTTTTTAAAGTCAGGCTTACGTATTACCTAGAAAACTTTTACTTTAGAAGATTTTGTTTTGCTTTTGTAGACTATAAATGCATATCCTAACTGGAAATTCTAAGGTGGATGGGAAAATACTGACAAAATTCATACAGTCCCATTGTACCAAAGCTCCAAGATGATATATGTTTTCAAAGCTTATAGGATTTTAAAATAAATTAAGCTTTGAAAAAATTATTATATAGAGTGTCAAAATGAAACAGTTGATGTTTATTCCTAAAAAAAACTAGCTGGGACCCTGTGCCTGTGGCACATGTAGTATTTTAGTTCTTTTTGTGGTTTGTTAATCCTGGTACTACTTAATCCTGAACCAATGGCTTCCTTTTATTCTGTCTCAATTTTTTTGTCCTTGAGGCTACTGTTGCCTTTTTAGCAATTTGTTGTAGTTGTTATGACATATGACATAACAGTCATATGCTGTTGTGACCATCAGCGTATCCACCAAGTAAAGTGAAACTTAAATGTGACAATTAAAAATTAAAGTGGCTAGGGAGTTGAAATTAGCAGAAAAAGATACAATGTAGAGATTAGCTCTGGCTTTAATTTTTCCTAGTATTCCGTCAGAATGTTAGACGTTATATGATTACATACTTCATCATAACGTATCTTTTGAAGTGAAAAGTAAAAGACTTTAGGATCTTAAGTAACTCTGGAACCCTAAGTAACTCTGGAACCGTATCATTATTAAAGTTGTAACATTGTACACTAGTTCAGAAACAAGTTGCTGTTTGCTTTGGTTCACTAACCCCACCGAAGAGTCAGCCTCGTTTACTGAACACTAGGTGGTGCTCCTGGTAAACTAAATATATGAAGAACTGGAGGCAAGGTCAAGCCAAATGGGTAAGAGAAAGAAACTTGCCGACAACTTGAACACTAATTGCCAGTTCTGACTCCTAGATAGGAAAGAACAGGTTATGATCTCAACCTGCTGTGAGGGGACACGGAAGGCCAAGAATGTGCACTCGTCCAAACAAGGTCTGATCTAACAGGGCACCTTAATCTCCCTAAGCTTGTTTTCGAACATTTCGCCTTTCACTCTGAACACTTGTCTTCTGCAAGAAAGAACCTAGTACCCAGATGTGGCAAAAACATGACCATGCTCAACAGGAAGTCTTCCAGACAAGGCAAGACCTGTACTTTTGTATTATTTCTTAAATTATAATACTCTTCCTTTGAATATGTCTAACACTTTGCTCTTGCTTGTCTAGATTGGTCTGAAAGTTTCCTGGGATGTAAATTATGTCCTTTGCCCCACCTCAGAGGTCTGATAGAGCAAACAGTTACCTTTCAGATTCTTGGGGTTGAGTGAATGAAAGGGCCAAGCATTTCTCACGTTCTGTGATCATATGCCTTTGCAAAAAACAGCTTAATGAACACTGAAGAATCAAAGTTTAGATGTATTTTCAAGCCTGAATACCCTTAAGATGCAGATCACTTCCAGATTATAAGCATTTTTTACAAACTAAATATATGAAAATCTGGATTTACATGAAGCTGGGAGGGTATTTTTTTCTAACAAAAGATTCCTCATAGGATTCTTTTACACATTTGCCTATCTTTAAAATAATTCAACAAATGTAAGTTTGTATGCATACACATTCACACATGTATAAATAGCTTCATTTATAAAGATGGACCTGTATTTGTTTAGTTGCATTGTTAACACCAAATATTGAAATGGCCACCTTAATGGGCTCCACAAGTGGAAGGAGTCCAGCTTCTCAACACGATGAGAGAGTCATGCGCATGTGTCTCCATTGCACTTTCTAACCCTTCATAACTATTTTGTTCTCCTGGCTGCTTCCCTGTTTTTCTAGGACTTCCATTGTGTTTTTAGTTGAATCTATTCTTCCTTGTAGCTTAATCTTGAGATAATTTTCAACTTCTTTGCTGAGTTATATCAACTCTTGTTTCTCAGCTTCCTGAGTTTTTCCCCCCTTTTATCCATTTTTGATCTGAGATTTTGGATTTCTAATTTCAAATATTAATTTTTATTTCTGTAGAGGCCTATTTAATTCAGACTGGATATTATCACAGTTTTCTTCTGCTTTATAGTTGAGAGTTTTCATCAGTTATCCGTGATTCTCATTCTTTCTTCTTATGGTAGTTTATGGGTATTACCTTCCTTGTTCTCATTTTGAAAGGTTTTATTTTCCTTGGCTTGAAAAAATGGTCCTCTATAGGCCAAGAGTTTTTGTGGCTTACTAGTTCCTTGATTCAAGAGTGTTCTCTTCTGTTGTTAGAGTGAAATGCAGTATTTCTTAGAGATGACAC